GATTTTGGAATTTGGGATATTTAAAAATTGGAGATTTGGAGAATCAGTGATTTTAGAATTTGGGACATTTGGGAATTGGAGATTTGGAGAATCAGTGATTTTAGAATTTGGGACATTTGGGAATTGGAGATTTGGAGAATCAGTGATTTTAGAATTTGGGACATTTGGGAATTGGAGATTTGGAGAATCAGTGATTTTAGAATTTGGGACATTTGGGAATTGGAGATTTGGAGAATCAGTGATTTTAGAATTTGGGACATTTGGGAATTGGAGATTTGGAGAATCAGTGATTTTAGAATTTGGGACATTTGGGAATTGGAGATTTGGAGAATCAGTGATTTTAGAATTTGGGACATTTGGGAATTGGAGATTTGGAGAATCAGTGATTTTGGAATTTGGGATATTTAAAAATTGGAGATTTGGGGAATCAGTGATTTTGGAATTTGAGATATTTGGGAATTGGAGATTTGGGGAATCAGTGATTTTGGAATTTGAGATATTTGGGAATTGGAGATTTGGGGAATCAGTGATTTTGGAATTTGAGATATTTGGGAATTGGAGATTTGGGGAATCAGTGATTTTGGAATTTGAGATATTTGGGAATTGGAGATTTGGGGAATCAGTGATTTTGGAATTTGGGACATTTGGGAATTGGAGATTTGGGGAATCAGTGATTTTGGAATTTGAGACATTTGGGAATTGGAGATTTGGGGAATCAGTGATTTTGGAATTTGGGACATTTGGGAATTGGAGATTTGGGGAATCAGTGATTTTGGAATTTGGGACATTTGGGAATTGGAGATTTGGAGATGCGGGGATTTGGGTATTATAGACATTGGAAATTTAGGGATTTGAGGATTTAGAAAGGTGGGAAATTTTGAGGTTGGGAATATAGGGATTTGGGGATTTGAAGATGTTGGGAGATGAGAGTTCGGATATTTAGAGACTTAAAAATTTTGAAATTTTGAAATTTAGGAAGTTAGCGATTTAGGGATTTGAAAATTCAGACATAAATCTATACCCTATAAAATGAGTTCAACGCTCCCATAATAATAAAAGGTACAATTTACTAATACATGAAGTACCATAAATATTTAGTACAATGCAGCAAAACATTGATCGCCATGTTTCTGCATATTTTAGACTCAAGAATTAGGTTTGACAGCTAAAAATATCATCAGATAATCCTCATGAATACATTTTCGTATGCACATTTATTTTACGAGTTTACGTTTTTATACTCGCGAAACGCGTCAGGCTAACAACTCATAAACGGTTATTTAATATTTTTCACGGTAGTTTGCGCTATCGAAGAAGCTTTTACGAAAGAACAGTTTAGAGGTGGCGTTTGAAAAATTGCACGGGGTCGATAAGTTTCTCGAGTCAAGGATGACAAATGACCACGGAAGTGTTACTCTTGAAAATAGAAGAAAAAGCGGTAAAACCGATGCGATGATAGATAGTTACAAGATAACCTCTTTTAATTTATTTTGATTTTGTGTCATTAACATGTGAAACGTAACTTCACATTTTACTCTCTTACATCATCAAATTTCTAATAATCTAAGAAGTTTAGGTACAGTTCTAGTTTAGGTACAATACTCTTCCAATGAGCATGTTCTAGTCTTCAATTATAAATTTTCAAATTCTTCTTTCTGTATCTGTATACTTGTTGAAAATTATTGTCTGATCTTGCTCGATCAAATTTCATAGTAATTAATTTCTAGCGGCTTTGAAAACGTTTGAAGTACGTATGGTTCAACTACTCAAACATTTCGGAAAATTCAACTGATTCAAACATAAAAATATTCCGGTAAATTCAAGCACTTTGAATGTTCAACTAGTCTGAAAAATTCAAGTACATCGAATATTGAAGTCTTCCAGAAAATTCAAGTATTTCCAACATTCCAATATTTCATAAAGTTCAAACACTGTGTATATTCAAATATATCAGAAAATGTGGGTGTTCAAATTTCCAACCTGAACTTCATCGACTACTCGAGTTTGGTTTCCCTAATCATAGAAATAAGAATATTTCAAGTTCGATGCGCCAAAACGTTTCAAAGACAATAGAAAGCGTGTCAGTCTGTAAGTAGATGTAATCGTTCGATGCGAGTTCATCGCACTAAATGCAGATCCGAAGTTGAAGACCAAGGAAAGTTCCGCATTTCCGGCTCGCAGGCGCAACATCATTAAAACTTTATCAATGACGGTACGTGCCGGTGGTTCGGTCGCGCGTTCACACGACGCGACGGGCATGCGTGTTGGGCGGTATACGCGCGGCAAAGTCTAATTATTGATTACCGACGACACCGTGCCACGTGAAAACCAGCCTCTTTGTTTTCCGGAAGAGTCGACCGTGCACGACGTGTTTGCCACTCGCAGATACCACGTTAAAAAGCATCGATAACGCGTTTGCTAAAGTGGGTAGCTTTTAAGTGGCAACTCCGGGCTGAAAGTGTCTCGTGGTCGACTGAAACGAATAGCAGCAAATTGACGAGTTATATGCGAGAGATCGAGAAGGTTTAATTATGGTCCAGTAGGGGATTTTGAATTTCAGGCATGCGCGATAACTGAGGGACGCAAACACGCTCTTAACGCGTTTATTGAAGATGAAACGCGTAGGCGGTGGGATTCAGCTGGTGTTGCGAATTTAATCTGATCGAGTTAGTGTGACAGTAAAGGAAGTTACGAATATGTAGTTTGTTGTACAGTAGACTTATATTGTTTAGTTTAGACTGAGAAGTCATGGCGCTCTCCGGGATCAAATTTTCATACTCTCGGATTTAGAAGTTGGGATATTTGGAGATGTGGGAATTTCGGAATTTTGAGAAATTTTGCAAGAGTGGATAATTTAGAAATTTACGAATCTGAGAAACTTATAAATATAGGAAATTTAGGAATGTAGGCAATTTGGAAAATTTAGTACTATGGGAAATTTAGAAATATACAAATTTAGGAAATTTAGAAAACAAGCCTGTGAACCTCGAAAAATTTAAAATTATTAATATTCTCAAATCTTCAAATTTTCAAGTTGTCAACATGTCAAGTCAAATGTCCAAAGATACCAAATGTCCAAATGTTCAAAAGTACCAAATGTCCAAATGTTCAAAGGTACCAAATATCCAAATATCCAAAACTTCCTACTAAAATATTTTCGAAATCTCAAATATTCGAATAAAAAAATGTGGCAAGCCAACCATAACAGCCCATTATATAACAATAGATGCAAAATGAAAGGTTAACTTAATTTTCGTAGTTAGCTTAGTCGGATATGTGCTTAATATTGTACTTAATTTGTGTACCTGCATTAGCATCCGGTACTCGAGTCAGTTTTACTGTCCATTAGAATTGCTGTTCCAACTGTTCCATATTTATGAACGTGAAAAAGCGATAAGATAAATAACAAGTTGCCAGCGCGGTTATAAAGTAGCCACACAAATCGCGTGGCTGTTTTTGACGTCGAACGAAACGAAGATCGCTTTTGTCGAACGACAGTTTTATTGTTCGAAAGGAAACCTGGAGCTTCGAGCGACGTGTCTTCGTATTATGCGAAAGCCTATTGTTTACTCCCGGACATTATCTCCATGGTTAAACAGGCATTGCTGTTTGGGAAATGTTACTTTATCTCCGTTGATTTGAATGACTTTGGAATATCGAGAAAAAAAGAATTATTCGATTTTGTTGTTTTTACGATATTTTGTGGAAATATTTATTTTTTTAACTCTTGGTGTTATTTTATGTAGATTACTGAGGTCTTTCAGATTTTAGTAAGAAAATATGTAGGGGTGAAGGGATGATTTTTGGGACAGAATATTTGATATTAATAAAAATTTAATGTACACGAAGCTCCTCAAATCCCAAGCTCCCCAAATCTCAAGCTCCCTAAGTCCCAAGCTCCCAAATTTCAAAATTCTCAAATTCTCAAATTCCCAAATTCCCATATTCTCCAATACTACAATCCCTCAATTACCAATTTCCCCAATATCCAATTTCCCCAATATCCAATTTCCCCAATTCCCAATTTCCCCAATTCCCAATTTCCCCAATTCCCAATTTCCCCAATTCCCAATTTCCCCAATTCCCAATTTCCCCAATTCCCAATTTCCCCAATTCCCAATTTCCCCAATTCCCAATTTCCCCAATTCCCAATTTCCCCAATTCCCAATTTCCCCAATTCCCAATTTCCCCAATTCCCAATTTCCCCAATTCCCAATTTCCCCAATTCCCAATTTCCCCAATTCCCAATTTCCCCAATTCCCAATTTCCCCAATTCCCAATTTCCCCAATTCCCAATTTCCCCAATTCCCAATTTCCCCAATTCCCAATTTCCCCAATTCCCAATTTCCCCAATTCCCAATTTCCCCAATTCCCAATTTCCCCAATTCCCAATTTCCCCAATTCCCAATTTCCCCAATTCCCAATTTCCCCAATTCCCAATTTCCCCAATTCCCAATTTCCCCAATTCCCAATTTCCCCAATTCCCAATTTCCCCAATTCCCAATTTCCCCAATTCCCAATTTCCCCAATTCCCAATTTCCCCAATTCCCAATTTCCCCAATTCCCAATTTCCCCAATTCCCAATTTCCCCAATTCCCAATTTCCCCAATTCCCAATTTCCCCAATTCCCAATTTCCCCAATTCCCAATTTCCCCAATTCCCAATTTCCCCAATTCCCAATTTCCCCAATTCCCAATTTCCCCAATTCCCAATTTCCCCAATTCCCAATTTCCCCAATTCCCAATTTCCCCAATTCCCAATTTCCCCAATTCCCAATTTCCCCAATTCCCAATTTCCCCAATTCCCAATTTCCCCAATTCCCAATGCCCCCAATTCCCAATTTCCCCAATTCCCAATTTTCCCAATTCCCAATCTCCCCAATTCCCAATCTCCCCAATTCCCAATCCCCCCAATTTCCAATGTACACGAAAAAAATAGATTTATGACCTATGAGAATGTTTTGAACAACGGAATTTTAGGTATTATTAAAATATACTCACCACGTTTTGGGCTAAGAGCTTGAAGATGAGCCGTAATTATGCCACACTGTTTTTCACGTTTGATGGCTAGATAATCCTTTCGTCGCAGCTGTCGAATAAGTATTCCACCAATATGATTGATGTGGTCGCGCAACTTCAACACTAGAATTTGAAGCTCGTGGTTCGCTGGAAAATTAAATTCCCATCACAAATACACTTGCTCATTCCAAAAAAAATAGACTTTAATTTTAATAACTACCAGAAGAAAGAACTCTACAAAAATTAATCCAAAAATTTGAAAGTACTTATGAAAATATCAGTTCTTGTAAACTACTTAATATATTAATAAATGTTACTACAAAGTAATTCTATGAATATCTATGTACATCTATGTATCTGTTGCTCTAACCAGAAGATTAAAATGGAGACGGTATATCATTTCCAAAAACTTTTCGCAAAATTAATATCTGCGAAGGAGTACATCTACAACCAAATTAGAGTTCGTCTAAAAGGCGAGACACTTTGAGAAAATATTCGAATTCTCGTCGCAATCTCGATAACGGCCCGAAAGAACTCATCCTCGTGCTTACGTTGACCCCGGAAGATTAAAGTTTCTCAACCCTTCCGCTTTATGCTCTCTGCGTTCTTCGATCCTGCTAGACGAAACCAACCCCTTCCTATATATTTTCTTTCATCATTCCGAACACGACTTCAGGTGTTCTCGGTTCCTGCAGTAAATCTTTAGCAACCAAGTTAAATTACGATCGCTTCAACGTTAAAATTCAACTCATCCAACTTTACGAAAGACTTGATCTATCCAATCCATTGACGTTTTCTTGAATTAAAATCATTTTGAGACTGTTTGAAAAAGAAAATTGACTTTGCGTTATAGATCTTCAGAATCATATTTTTATATGTACATAGTTTTAAAATTTCAAACGTGACATTTACAAATTTATAGATTTACAGATTTGTGTATTTATAGTTGCATGTATTTACGAGACTGTGGATGTTCAAATCTACAAATTTATTTATTTAGAGATATCAAAATTTTGCTCATGTTAATTATACAAAAACATTGATGAAATGTGTAAGGATGTATATTGTAAAAAGAAAGAATTTTGAGCAACAACATATTGAAAGATGAGAACCACTGATATTCCAATCGACTTAACATTTATTTTAGTCCCCGGTTTTAAGTTTAGCAGTAAGCGTCCATTCTGCGTGATGAGCTTGACGCGTGCTCATGGGTTTCGGTTTTTAAAATTCACGCAATCTCACCCCCTGGTTTACGCTATGCATGTTCAACGAGATGGAACGAAGCAGCGCCGTGTATGGAGATAAAAGAAGCGTTTCCCTCCTCGAAAGAAAAACAAGGAGAAAGGTAGCACTCCAAGTCAAAGAACCTTCTTGCTTCGAAGTCAACGAGGTCGCTTGTCTGTCTCGGCACCGCGACCTCTTGTCTCGTCAGCTTCTATCAGAGTATCTTTGCCTAATTTCGTACGTCACAATTTAATTTGAACGCTAAGTATTGGTCATGCTGATCATTTTTTAAATTGATGATGGTTTATTAACTCTACTTGGTGTAGTGTGTTTTTATATCCCTGAATTGGCAGAGCTCTTAATTTCTAAGTTAGCAAATTTCTCAGTTTGCAAATTGCAGAGCTCCCCAATTCCCAAGCTCTCCAAATCCCAAGCTCCCCAAATCTTAAGCTCCCTAAATCTTAAGGTCTCCAAATCTCAAGCTCCCCAAATTCTAAATTCCCCAAATTCCAAGCTCCCCAAATCTCAAGCTCCCCAAATCCCAAGCTCCCCACATCCCAAGCTCCCCAAATTCCAAACTCCCCAAATTCCAAGCTAAATCTCAAGCTCCCCAAATCTCCAAATCCCAAGCTCCCCAAATCTTAAGCTCCCTAAATCTTAAGGTCTCCAAATCTCAAGCTCCCCAAATTCTAAATTCCCCAAATTCCAAGCTCCCCAAATCTCAAGCTCCCCAAATCCCAAGCTCCCCACATCCCAAGCTCCCCAAATTCCAAACTCCCCAAATTCCAAGCTCCCAAATTTCAAAGTTTTCAAATTCCCATATTCCCCAATACTACAATCCCTCAATTACCAATTTCTCCAATTCCCAATTTTCCCAATTTCCAATTTCCCCAATTTCCAATTTCCCCAATTTCCAATTTCCCCAATTCCTAATCTCCCTAATTTCCAATTTCCCCAATTCCCAATCTTCCCAATTTCCAATCTCCCCAATTTCCAATCTCCCCAATTCCCAATCTCCCCAATTCCCAAATTCCCAAATTCCCAAATCTCCAAATTCTTAAATCCCAGAATCCCTAAACTCCTAAATCCCTAAATCCCTAAATTCCCAAGTTCCCAAATGTATTAATCTCACGTACAGCAATAATAAATAATAATGTGAGATTTACTCCCGACTCTACTTGAATTATTTGTCGACGAGCAGACAATAAGTCTAGCCATCCTCGTTCTCCAGTTCTATCGGTTAAATAAGCATTTTCTCCGTTTCCACGGGAAACGGGATCCACAATAAACGTCCTCCAGCTAAACGTGTTTATCAGACACCCACGCTCCGGCTCGTCCCTCCTTTTTTCCTACGCGATACACACGTACAACGTTTCCATCTCATATTGAATTACTCTTACTTTTCCATAGCAGACGCGCCTTTTGCAGATGCTGGTGTTGCGGATGTATCCTCAGGGATGAAGCTGTCGAGTCGCTTTCCGATCGCCTTCTATCACCGTCTGGCAATCCGTAGATATCCAGCAATAACTGATCCACTAACAACGACACCGTTCTTTCCTTTTTTTCTGGTGGATTGGGTAATGGCGGGGGATACGTCTGTAAATGACGGTTTTTATTACAATCCTATTAACACGTTAATGATGACGTAGTATAATTATGGGGGTCTGATGACCGTCATAAATTTGGCGGTAAACTGTGGATGATGGGCTAATTATGATTTATAGAGACAAACAATATATTACACCTGGGTACCTAAGTATTGCTACAGTTAATTAGTGATATTTATTTTGTGAAAATACGAGGTCTATTTTTGCATTTCTACAACCCCGGGTTTCTACATTCTGAAATTTCTACATCTCCAAATTCCTAGATCTTTATATCCTTAGATTCACATAACCTCACAATTGTACATCTCTAGATTCATATCATTTCTAGGTCTCCACATTGCAATATTTATGAATTTTTAGATTTCTGTATCTCTGTATTCCTAGATCTGTAGCTCTTGATATCTCAGTATTCCTACAACCCTAGGTCTCTACATCCCATATCCTCAAATTTCTACATCTCCACATTTCTAGTCCCCCATATCTCGAGACCCCTATTTCTCCAGACCCCTAGATCTCTATTTGTAACAATACCTTCGGTTTTTTTATCGTAGTCTCCTTTTTGACATCCTTATTGCAAACGTCCACGTTCGAATTCCTCGCGTCATTCATCGATTTCGACCTTTTCAAACATTTCTTCGTAACTTCGACCGGCGTCGCGCTAGCTCTCCTCGTCGGTTTTCTCCTGTTCAATTCCAGAAAATCCGGACCCTGCCAGGTCCTCTCGAACAGGTTACATTTTCTCTTGTCGTACAACGAAGGAAACTGATATCCGTCGGCGCAGTACAAAAGGTTCCTCGTTTGTCGCGTGACATAAACGTCGCCGAACACGCGTTCGTTTTCCACAGCCACGCATTTTACCCGGTAACTGATTTCTTCGTACTTCTTCAACGGCATCACAACGTTGCAGCTCATGGCTACCTAGGGTGTTCAACTCTTTCGCTGAATCGTGTCCATCGGAAATTTTTAACCGTACGGTTCGCGATCCGCTAAATGTTTGCTCATTATTCCGCAGCGTATTTATGCTCGAGCGGACAAATGGTTTTCTGTCGAAATGAAGGGGTTGGGTCACGTTGGTTATCGTTCTCGATTCGACGATCTCCGCGTACAACTTCAGCGCGGAAACTTGTTAGCAGGAAACACGAGACCGCTTACATACCGAATGCAAATTCACCGACGGCAAGAAATTTTCTAGAATCCAAACACCCCAGTAATCTAAGAAACCGTCCGAACGAATCTTCGTGGTCCACTGAACTCGCAGCTGCGTACAGAAAAACGGATACAAAATGGTGGATGAAGCCTTTTTATTTTCTCTCTCGAAGCCTTTATTTGCTTTTTTCTCTCGTTACTTTCTAAGATACTTTATTTTACATTTTGCAGAAATACAGGTTCTTGTGTATCTGCGTTTGTTTGGATTCATAACATTAACGAAGTTATAGATTAGTTATGAACAAGTGTCCGCTCGCTGACAGTTACACGGTCCCCACTATCAGATTGCCTGTCCCCCCACTATTTGTTAATCCGTACCTCTACAAATCAACGTGCAACTTGCTATTAATTACATACCCTGTGACATACAGATTCCAACTTGCACACCCTGAACAGCTTGTCGAGCAAAAGTACAAAAAGATTATACGAAAGCTTCATTTAGATGCATGTTCTTTTCTTGTAGGTGATTTCGTTACTTTTAAACGCAATTTTATGGACGCATGTACCTAGCATATAAATTACAGATCGTTTATCGTTTGAACGATGATAAACAATGACCTCCATAATTATCTAACATTTATCAGAACTGTCACTCGTAACTGTTCCTGCGAAAATCAAGGATTTAGGAAGTGTGGAACGTCACTCGATGTCCGTAATATTAAAGTATCACAGACGTGACAATTTATAACAATATTTGCTAGCGAGGCAGCGGTAATTCTTTCTGGGAGGAAGATTAACAAAGAACGATGATTCGACGTAAGTATATTTACTTGGATTAATACCGGCAATTTATTGCGCGGTTAAATGTCACAGGTTTCGCACTTCCGTTGGGCAAACTTGAAAATGTCGCGTTGTATTTATAGAGTTCAATTAGAGCCGCCGTGTGTGCATTTTTAAATCGAATTTCGTTTCACCGTTCGCACGTTCTGACGGTGTATATGTTAATTGGTATCTTCACTGTTATGTTTGAATTACACGAAAGCACACTGTGGACATTGTATTATTCCTCGCGGGCTTTTTTGTCGATTTAACAACTTTTCCACGGACGATCGTACTCACGAGGATTGCAGTAATTTCCGTAGTTTCGCGCCGAGTTCGAATATTCTTCCGCGGTGTTTCATTGCATTCTGTACGCGTCGTAACCCTTATCACGAGGCGAGCAATTCGCTTCTGGTGGCCAGACCGCAACTGGAAGTGCCGGCGATGATAATCGTTTCATTAAGTCCGTACCCTACACTTACGTTGCCAGCCAGCAAGTTGACAGAGGTGGCGAGCGCGACGAACGACACAGCTGTCGTTATTTATGATCACCGCGTGTCCAATGCGAAGATGCGACGAATTCTCGGAGCGTCAAATAAAAATTGCACAGGGAATTTTACGGGCATTCAAAAATAAATGGAAAAAGGGATAGCGAAGATGGAAAAAAGTGAAACGTCTCGAACAGCTATGCGTGAAATTTTACGAGCATAAAAAATAAAATATAAAAAAATGGGAAAAAACGATTCGAGCAAGTTGCATATTTTATGAAATATCGATTGGGAATTTGCAATCTTTTGACGTATTTTAATTTAAAATTGCTCGAATTTTTTCGGGAGTAAATAGCGGAAAATATTGAAAAATGTGGTGGGTGGTTATTTGGTATTAAATATTCAAATAGCTGGATATTGGGATGTTAGGATTTTAGAATTTTAGAATTTTAGAATTTTAGAATTTTAGAATTTTAGAATTTTAGAATTTTAGAATAAGGCATTGGGATATTGGAATATTGGAATATAGGCTGTTCAGATATCTGTATATATCTGGGGGTGTCTGGATATTGGGTTATTGCGATGTGGAAATATTTAGATAATTAGAAGTTTAGGTATTCAGATATTTGGATACTGTGGTATTGGAACATTGAAACACAAGGTACTGGTTTATTGCTGTACAGGACATTGAGCTACTGGAGTATTAAAATGTTTAACATTTGTTACATTCTAGATACTCAATAATACTTAATACTTTGTAACCGTTAAATTGAAATAAATCTTAGTTATAATTATCAACTTATTTAAATTACTAATTATTTAAATAAACCTTTCTCTCTATAACGCATACCTTTTACTATAAGAAAACACGATAAAATCAAAATCGATATTTTCGCACCATAACCTCCTTTTTACAAAGCACGTCACACATTCTATTTAAAAAAAAAACTGAAATAATCTTACATTTATTTACGTTTCTAAAGTTCATGTTATAATCAACTAAAACTAACAGTTGGTGATAATCATTTTAGCATAACAATGTGAACACGTAAACCACAATGGTTCTCATTTTACAGACTTGATCTGAGTAATCACGAATGAGGTTATAATTAGAAAGAAATTGGTCTGAGTTTTTTCTTGCTGTTTATTTGCAAAATTGTTGACAAAGTATTTGGCTTGCTATTCACGTTGCATTTGAATGCTTTGGTTACTGTTTCCCGATGGGAAGTACGACTTTAAGGCGGTCAATGAAACCGCTGCTGTTATCGGTGTCGCTGATACTGCGACCGACGTAACGTAGTGCACACTCAGCTAGAATTTTAAATGCTCTCTTGGTGTGCACTAGTCGTTCACCTGGTAGGTTCAATAACCCTTTTCCTAATAAAAAAGACGACGCTAAGGGATACTAAAGAAACCGAGGACAACTTGAGAACGTTGCCAAGAAAGAATATCTTTGCACAAAATATCAAACTAATCAGCACTAAATTGGTACTAAAAGTACCCATCCCATTTACCTAAATTTACCAAACTATACTTACACATTTATAAAAACACAAAAAATAAATTAACTACAAAAGAGAGTATACAAAAATCTTTCCTGAACTATAAAAGAAAATAAGAACTATAAAAGATATAAATACAAATAAAATTTCGTAAAATTGAAATTGCAAATGCATATTTGCAATTTCCATAGTTACAGTGTCCGAAATAGACTCTCGGTATATTGCTACCCTTATGATCTTTTCGATTGCAGCATAACTTAGAGATGTTACTTAATTTTCTGGAGGAAAGAGTAGTGTTCGAATCGATAAAGGACATTGAAATTCCATCGTTTCATCAAGAATTTACTGCACGGTGAATCGAAGATGGTTTGATCGATTCGTTGGTCGTGTACACACAAGATATTGTCGCTATAGGAACCGAACATTTATGGCCGACGTCGAGAAAACAGAAATTGCAGTGTGATTTCACAGGAATCTACGGAGATATTATGCTTTACGATTCGGTCATTACGACCCATTCAGGACTCGATTGAGCTGCTCGTAATCCGATAATGATCGAAACACCATGCGTGTGCGACGAAAAGAAGGAAGAAGAGAAAACAGAGGTTTCTTTCGGACCACGCACCGATGACATTTATCGAACCTGTAATCTACCGACGCGATTCATGTACCCACGTGAGTCTGAATAATTCATTGGTACTAGCCTATCAATGGTTCATCAATAGCGTGTTGCAATCGTAACGTTACTTTCGTGAAACGTTCATCTTTTCGAAATGCTTCGTTTTCGACATTAATGTAATCTTTGATCACGTTTCTTAACGTCGACAAAATTTAATTGCTGAAAATAGAGTACTTTGTTGCTTTATGTGTCTGTTTATGAGCGTCTTCATTCGCTGGTAGTGATTAAAGGCAACTATAAATTTACACAGCTATCATCTTTTCGCGTTAAATGAGTCCATAGAATTTAAGGTTTACCTTCATGATATTACGTTTCGTATTAAATGAAAATTTCTCTTCGGGTACGGTGCTCGTTAAAAAGAACCGCATTATGCGATAACATTGGCGTAACTAGAATCTTTTCCTGGCCTCTTCCAGCTTCTCTAATTTTAATGACTATGGCTCGTACACCAAATATTCTGTGTTTTTTAAATATTTATTTTAGAGATTCTACAATTTGAATATTGGTATAAATTTGTAAAACTGTTTAAGAAGAGTCATTTGAATAATTCAAAATTACAATTGTGAGATATGATTATAATAATTTATAATGTGGAAGTACTAGTATTGTAATAATCTAAAAAAAGATCTAATTTTAAACTGCAATTCAGAAGTACTATTTTAATAATCTAACAAAAAAACAAAAGTTAAATGTAAAAATTCATCCTAGAGCTCGAAGCTTCAGAAAATTAAGTAGTAAAAGATTATCTAACTAATTAGACGAATAAAGAGAGAAATAGTTCTGAGAACATTTGGATTACTTTATACCCCTTTAAATTCGTCTTGAGAAATTTCGCGTAACGCGAAAGCACATCGTTTCGCCGTAGACTCCGCAATAAGAAGTTCTTCGTAGTGAAACGATAACGTTCTGCTATTAATAAATCCGTACCGACGATCGTTACGTTCCTCGAGGCTTATCGGCAATGCAGACATTTTTGCATATGTCATAGGAACCCTTCACAAGATAGTCATTGTTTCAAGCTTACGCGTTTCTTCCACTTTCACCAGACATTCGACGTCAAACAATTACATCGTCTACACGAAAACACTACAGCCATTTTGTTTGAAGTTCGCTTGATCGAATTACACCTACGTTTCCCTTCAAAGGAAATAATGCATATTCAATCTGTCAGATTATTCCGTGCTTCGGGAATACACAGCTGTCAGATCAAAGCAACAAAGGTTAACAAATTTCTTAGTGAACCGAGCTTGAAAAGGAATATAAAAATCGAGCAAACAAAAGGTCCAGAATTATGAATTTTAACGTGGGGAAAATTTATTTCGAACAATAAGCATAGCTCGATTTCAATAAAATTGAAAACGTTAACCTCATCGAGATCGGAACAGAGGGTCTGTGTTTCCAGAGAGCAATTGGCGTTTAACGGTTCTAAAATGAATAAAACATTTCTATGGAGACTCGATCGACGAGTTATGTTACTGCAACCTAGTGATGGATAAATACCGAAGATCTCACGGGCACTGTTTCACGAACAGGATTCCACAATTTCAAATATATGAAAATTTTCAAATCATAAATTTACAAGCTTAGAAATTTATAAAATCATATGGTTACGACTTTAAACTTCCAAATTCTGAAAATCACAAATTCCAAGTTTAAGAATTGTTAAATTTTCAAAGTGATAAGCATAGAAATTTTAAAAATATCCAAGAAATTTTAGAAATTATTTTCCAACATTCTCAAACTCACAAATTTTAAAGCTCTCAAGTTCTCTAATATATAAACCTCCAAATCAAGTAGAGTAAAAATTTTGAAACTCGAGTTGAAATAAAAAATTTGAATTTAGGGAAAAATGAAGTGTTCGATTAGCTTTCGCTACAAGACCCTTGATGTCCTCTTCCAAGAACGTCCCTCCTACAGTTGCATCCAAGACAACGGTCGCACTGATCGCCGGTGCACAGACCCCGAGGTCCGCGCCCTCGCAGTAGCTCATCACTGGTACAACCGATATATTTATCCAGTGGTATCTGTCGAACGGTAACGGTCGGTTTATTCCGTCGACAGCACGTCGAAACGCTTCCTCGCGCATTCAGTGCGTATCCAGCATCTGAGCACACCATGTGCTTCCTCTTGCTCGTTTATCTCCTGTTATCGGTCACCGCTCAAGACGTTAGCACCGAGGAGGTGGACTGCCAAGTTTACAACCATCTGTACGTTTGTCTGGCCAACGGTGTGTTGCACAGCGTCTCGTTCGAGGATGTTAACGCTGTACAAACCATCGAGGACATAGAGCTACATTTGGAGGGTTTAAGGATTCTGGACATAGCCAAGGACGCTTTCATCGAAGTGGCTAACTCTTCCGCCCTTTACATCCGCGACAATCAGTTATCTGTCATTTCCAGACATTATTTCTCTCCTCTGGATCAATTAACGTACCTGGATCTGAAGAACAATAGCCTCGTTGACATAGAAGATGGAGCGTTTATAAAACTACGCAGTTTAGAAACGTTGCTTTTGGATTACAACAATATTAGTTCCTTTCGACCAGCCATGTGGAGGGGTCTAGGCGACCTTCACGAGTTATACGCAACGAATAATAATATCGTATTGAAAAGGAATATGTTCAAAGGACTCAGACATCTGGAAACGTTGGCTCTGGACTCGAACGAAATCACAGAAGTGCCAGTTGGGGCGTTCAATGGACTGCCTCACATCGATCTTTTATATTTGTCCAGGAATAAAATCTCCTCCTTGCAGCCGGACGTATTTCGCGGACTCGGCGAAATCAACGAACTGGATCTGGGAAGAAATCAACTGAAAACCATTTCCGGAGGAGTTTTCCGTTACCTGAAGAACTTGAACTCTTTATGGTTGAATGGAAATCAGATCGTCATGCTTAAGGCGGACAGCTTCGAAGGACTGGACAATTTGTTGCTACTTTTTTTGAACAACAACGAGCTACGATTCGTCGACATGGCCGCGTTTGCTAGGATGAAGAACGTCACCGTTGATCCTGGTTTCAAGATACACGGATTTGTATTGGATAACGTTTCGAAAGTGCAGGGACGGTTTCGGTGTGAGAACGTCGAGTATCAGTTGCCGTACGAGTGCACGAAGATGGAACTATAATTTTGAATTTTAGGGCAGTGATGGGTAGAGGGTGCACGAAATTGAGGAAGATGAAACTTGCAGATATTTGAAAATTTGTGAATTAAAATATTTGAGAACTTGAGAACTTGAAAACTTTGGAACTTGAGAACTTTGGAACTTGAGAACTTTGGAACTTGAGAACTTTGGAACTTGAGAACTTTGGAACTTGAGAACTTTGGAACTTGAGAACTTTGGAACTTGAGAACTTTGGAACTTGAGAACTTTGGAACTTGAGAACTTTGGAACTTGAGAACTTTGGAACTTGAGAACTTTGGAACTTGAGAACTTTGGAACTTGAGAACTTTGGAACTTGAGAACTTTGGAACTTGAGAACTTTGGAACTTGAGAACTTTGGAACTTGAGAACTTTGGAACTTGAGAACTTTGGAACTTGAGAACTTTGGAACTTGAGAACTTTGGAACTTGAGAACTTTGGAACTTGAGAACTTTGGAACTTGAGAACTTTGGAACTTGAGAACTTTGGAACTTGAGAACTTTGGAACTTGAAAATTTGAGAATTTGAGAATTTGAGAATTTAAGAATTTGAGAATTTGAAAATTGTCAAACTTGGAAATTAGAAAATTTGAGAACTCAAAAATTCAAGAACTTGTCAAATCATCAAACAACCAAATTAGTTTCTGAATTAAAAAATGTGAAAACCATAAACCTACCCTCATTGCTGCATGAAGTACATACCACTGCCAGTGAACTCTTCAATCTGCCCATCACTGTTTTACAGTATTGTATTAAGACTTTCACACATTTTTTAATTATTCTGACAGTGAAAATGAGAATTCCAACTAAATATAAATTGAAAGATTTGATGTTATGTGTTCCTGTTTATGATAAGTTTTTTTTATCACGACTTATGTAAAATAACAACTTGAAAATATAGCATTCATTAAGACAGGGGTATAGTCAAGTTTTTTTCGAGAAATAAAGAACAATTTTATTCGATGAGGGTTGTTTTTCCAGGAGTTTTCGAGGGATATCGTCAGGACGAGAAACCTCTTCCACATCCTTGTTACAGGAGTACGTCGATGGACTACGGATGGTACGCACCGAATATTCACACAGTACCCACAAGATATTACCCTCGAAATACTTCTTTTAGTGATAGCCAAGCTCTTGGTGGCATGTATCGAAACTGCTCCCTTAACACGGAATTGGACAAAACCCCTATTTAAATTCTTCACTTATTAATAATCTATGCCTTCCAATGTACGATTTTCTATTCATAGTGCATATGTAACAAACCATCACGTAATATTTGTTTGTCTACACATCGCTTTTAAAAGCTTTTAATTTTTAAATAAATCTGACAACATACACTGTCAATTCTGATATACTTTCGATAATTTCTAAATTTCCTCTATATACCGAACTTTTTCTAATAAAGCTAATAAAACAAAAGAAAATGTATTCAAATAAATTGGTTCCTTCTACCAAAAAAATATTATGATAAAAAATTACTCCTAGCGAGAAGAATCTTTATCTCTCTAATAGACTCTAATAAACTTGATAATAAACTTGATATTCTAGTAAAAATATCGTAAATAAAAAATGAGGCAAGGTTTTTATGTTTGTGAGTATAGGTTGCGAAATTAACAAGATTCAGGGATATAATACTTTATATGTATATATATATTTTTCGTTTTATTATTACATTTTAGCTTACGTATCGCAGTAATCGTATTTGTTAACAGACCCTACACGACCACCCTTGATTACACGGTGTCCCGTCGCTAGTAAGGATTAAAAGTGTGCCTTTCTTATTACGATTACCGGAATTATTGTTTTTTTTTTTATTCATTTTACGTTCACTACCTTTGTCTTCGTTTACAGATTTACTAGGATTTATCGTCAAGTTCTGAAACAACTCTGCGCAACTCAACTGCGGAAGTATCATAACATTCTTTATAATCTTGAGTGCATGCCATTCGTCGATTACGCTGCTTAGTATGAACATTATTTACTGATAATTATAACTTCAACATGTATATATATATATTTATATATTTATAAATGTGTGTACATAACACAATGAGACAGCTCAATCCGTCATAAGAGTTCGTAATATTTCAATGTATTAACAACCATAACGACCTCAAAAACGTTCCGCACGTTTCACAGTCAAATATGGCAATATTTGTCCAATGAGAGGATGAAACTCTGTCTAACGTATGTCCGTGTTGTTCAAGGGCCCACGTCGAACATCTCACGCGAACAACAAATTCAATATAAATTCGATCGATTTTTATTCAAACTCTACGAAAAAGAATCGAGAGGGTTTTCTCGCTCGATCAGCGCCATCTTTCGCTCAGAGATTTTGCACGCCACGCCACGTATCAAAATTCTCTGAATGGCGTCGCGTGAAAAACTGCGCGAAATCGAGTGAATCAGTAATCGAATCCTCTGCGTATCGCCGTATCGAGACGCTCAAACTCGAGTTAACAGCGAATCAACGTGAGATTGATCGTAAGCCTTTCCGAATCGTCGTCGTTGATAAACTAGACCCGTGACGCGACGACAAAGATACTTGACTCCTGATGAAAATTTAATTAAGGCCATGAAATGATCACCGGGCATCAAGTGTCGTTGATCCTTCTCATCGTCATCCACGAAAGATCTCGATGCTCGATGAAATTTCGTGCTCGTTATCTACTGGTCTCTTTCGGTTGTTCCATACCCTGACGATACAATCGAATTGACAATCTCGAACATTCATCCGGAATGATCTACAGTTGACGATCTAGGGTTGTTAAAATTGAACTCGCGAGATAACGAGCACTCGACGTGCACCCGAATATCTCTTTACACGTGTCCTCTCCTATCTATACACAGTCCTATACATTGTACTACATATTTCCTTGTAAGTCTCTCGAATTCTCAATGTGCTGCGCTTAACATAGTTTTACGTTTACTGGTTTTGGAGCTCCCTCCATTTATATTTCGGTGATGAGTGAATCCTTAACAGCTAAAACGATGACAGATAGAACTCGCATTTTACGCAATCGCTTAAGAACCTTTCTCCTTCCTTCTTCGCGTTTTACATAGTGGCTAGGTAGAACGGTAATAAATGGTCGTACGTTCGAGGGATCGGTAATTAGTTGTGACCGATTCGATCGTGCCAGCGATGATCGTTATCTCTCCATTGATCATTCGTTGTTGCCTCCTCGATATTCTGTAATCGAGACGCCCGAAGTTATACATTCGAGCAGTCTTGATTATGGGTACAGAAGAAAAAAGAACACGGGGAGAACGATCGACGATGACGCGATCGAATCGTGCGATCGAACCCGATTGTCTGAGACTTCCATCGGAGGCTCGATCGAGGTGGATCCATAGGGGTAGGTTTATGCGGTTTCGCGACGCATCAGGGATACGCGCGTCGCGAAAGAGAACAACATCGAGATTATACTAATCCTACTCTCTCACACATGTCTCGTTCGAAAGGAGTATCTCCCTCGTTATTACCTTATATTGTCGTTACAATTGATATCGAATATTGGCATATAGAGGGGCACGATTCGGTGACTCGTGAAACGTTTATATTGGGCAAGTTTTGAATAGCCAATTGAATCAATTTGTACCTTTAAAAGGTTTGATCTTGTCGATCGATGGCGATCAACAAGTAATCAAAAGTGTCCAAATTCATGGACACTGATGTGCATTCTGATGAGAATCGAAAATTTTTTAACTTAGCAATCTGGTAATTTGGTAGATTGGAATAATTTAAAAAATTCAGAAATATAAAAATTTGCAAATTTTAAATCTAACTCAGAGCTTCAAATAGAACCTTGTAAATTTGGAAATAGGAAAATATAGGAATTTTGTTTGCACTGGACAAGTTTGCCCGATATAATTGGTCAGAGACACCGATCGAACCCCAATTCGTAATAATTATTCGCTGTTTTTTTACTCCTCGTATAATATAGCATTCCGACCGATTTACAATTAATTAGACCTGAAATCTTCCTTACATCTTACAACGTCGTGTACGTCCGTCGAACAATAAGGTTGGTTCCTCCGTTGTTCATCCCGGGCAATAAGCTATTTATTAACTGCCTCGTATCATAGTATATAATATACGTTTATGCATATATCGTCATTAAATAGTCATGTATCTGAGAGTACCAGAGTCAAGCGATTATAGTACATGTGACTAGCACTCGTTTTGAAATCAAGGAGATAACATACAGGTTACATATAGCGTCTAACATACTCGCTAGCTTATCTATCATAATGAATTTGACCTTAACCATTGCTGTTACTGTTAATATTATTCTTAAGATTCGTGACACAGAGACACTGAATAATTATAATGAAGGGACGAGCATTCGAACGATCACACGTACTGTATCCAACGCAAGCTTTTTATTATAATTGTGCGAGTATGCTTCTCGATTCACCCATTTCATATTCGTTGTAGTGATTTCGCACAACTTTGTAGACTTTTGAAAAAAGAGAAAAATACACAAGTGAAACTCTATTATTATTACAGAATTTCTATTTGATAATTCAAACTTTGATTGATACATAAAAAAAATTGTGAAAGAAAAAAGCAAAAAATCACTGAAAATTTAAAGGAAAGATCGCTGGATACTTACGCTGATACGGTTTCGATGTACAGTAGACTCTCGCTCAATTGCCTTTACACTTCCATGCACACTATCAACACTCTCCACGTCACTTACCATTATACAGTGTATGGAGATCCATGGAACTTCTCGGATACAAAGAACTTTTTCTATAATAGAGTACCCTTCGCAAATATCGAAATTTGATAATACAAAAATTGAATAACTTGATGAATTGAAAATATTTTAAATTTGATCATCAGTGATAGCACGTCATCTACATCCAGGCGCAGTTGCCCATCACTACCTTAGATCATCCAATACAATGTGTTTTGTAATTCATCTCGCGATTTTGCATCGCGAAAGAATCGAAATTCACGATGGTAACACGAAAGTACTCTATCGCAACATTATTGATCCTTTAAATCCTTTAAGCCCTAAAGATCCTTTTAATCCAAGGCATCTAAGCTTAGTTCCACGAGCTTAAAATATCTACGGAACGTTAAATCTTAGCCAACAACGGTATCAAGTGACGCAAGGACCCTAAATAGGTTAGCTTAATCGTAACGCTACTTCCGGCAACAAGGAAAATGATGCTAGACAACGAAGAAGATCGATAACACCGTGAAAAAACGAGACACGAGACGGTGCAAATATTTTTCTTTTTTTTTTCTCTTTCTAGAATCCATTAGCCTAGTTCGGTATTGCTGGCACATGGTTATCTACAAATTATACTTTACTCGTACATCGAAAAACACCATCGAAATTAACGAACAATAAATTGTATATTTCAAAATGGCTGCTCACTACATCACACGGGCACTAGAACGAATGTTAAACGTCGTTGATCAAGGATTCTAACACGATCAAGCAACGAAATGCTTGAAGATGTCCGTTTGATTAATGTCCGAGTCGTACGATCATCCGTATACGATTACTTATGACATAATTAATTATTGCGAATGTAAATTCCTACTATCTTCGATCTTCGAGTTAATCGTTTCGTAGAAACTAGTCGATTGAACCGAAAGGTCGTTTCGTTTTTGTGATATTTTTACTTAAATATTCTTATTTACATTTCATTTTATTTCTCAATGCTCTGGATAGCTTCACATACGAGCTTTTAAGACTATTCCACTTTTAGTTCTTTTGAAATTAAGAAGTTTAATGTAGAAAGAATCCCCATCTTTAATGTAAAGCAACTCTTAGCGAAACTCTTAAAAATTAAAAAATGAGGTTACAAATCAGAATGTAAGAACGAAACCAACTTTCGATTCAACCTAACAATTTCGCTATAACAATTATTTGTTGACTATGAAAATTGCATCGACCCCAGCTTAATTTCTTTTTACGACTAATATCAGGTTCAGGTAAGTGCAATCGTAATTATACGATCACTAATTGTCTAAATGAAACACCCGTCGGTAAGATGTTACCGACACAGGAATCATCGATATGCATGCAGAAATCTGATGTCAATTCTCGTTTGGCGGTTCTGGAATTATAGAACCGTTTTCACAGATATTAAACGGATGATCGTTTAACACGTTGATTGCACGCATATTTCGATACTAGTTAGAGTCTTCCTATTATTTCCACACTAGTTCGTTCCATAGTAATTTCAGTTCAATAAAAGAATTCCTTGTGTAGATGACGTACACTTATGGGAATTCAAATCTTGACGCCACGCACGATGACGTGTTGATACGCGGAGAGAAAACGTGTTAATTCGCGGTGTTAATCCGTGGTCAATCAACGTGTTAATACGATACCAAATTCGGCCTCCAAATGGATAATCGCTAAGATATTTCCGACGAAGCTAATTTTAGCCGTCACAGTGATCGAAGTCGATGCCGTTGATTCGTCTAGACTGCACTTTTATGTACCCAGCTGCCTCTTCTATGTTTCTATCCTAGCTAGTGCATGAACTTGCACCCCTGAGATATTCGTTATCTTTAACCAAGTCTACATAAACAGTACGGATCGAACACGCGCGCTGTTCCTTTACTTTTAACCAGTCTGTCGAGCTTTCGTTTCGTTTCTCCGCGTCGTGGCGTCAGCTCCGAAAGCGAGTCTCTTCAGCTTCTAATTACGGAAAGCTTTGTACTTGACCGAGCGATTCCAGCTGGTAAGATTGTCCATGATGTATGTACGAATTTCTATTTCATTATATCGTTACAATACCGTCTCGATAACTGTCGATATCTAAATCTCGCGTTCGCCTACGCCACAGTCTCGATATATGGCTGTCAGTTACGTGACTACAGAGATTTTCACTTCATGGACTTATTTTTTATATTAGACGTATGGAGAAATTTAGGAGAGTCAAACTGATGAGATTTCAAGATTATTAATTTAGGAATTTTGAAATTAGGAAATTTAGAGATTAACAATTTTGGTGTATAGGAAATAGGGTATTTAGAAACTTGAGGATTTGAGAATTGATTATGAAGTTTGAAGAATTAAGGGGTTTAAAAATTAAGCAATTAAAGAATTAATAAAAAATTTCAAATTTACAAATTTGATAGTTTTAAAATATGAAAATTCAGAAATTTAAGGTATGCATGTTTGCAAATAAATAAATGTCGAACATCTAATTCTAGTAAGTTTCGTTCTGATTTTTTAAGTCCCATGTTAATCACCTCATGGAATGAGCTCCGTATATATTGCACTTTTCACAAGTTTTGCTTTCAGTGCCATATAACGAGACTCGTATTCGTGGAAACGCGAGAATTATGAAATTATACAGCTCTGAAAGCTAACCCGAAGCTTCTGGTCTATTCTCGCGATTCTATTCTCGTACGCTCTATCCTTCCTACGAATCATTGCCTGTCGTATGGACAATTGATCTGAACGAAATGTTCAAGCCGAAGAAAATGTTCCGAGCCTATGCAGTGCACATTCGAGGTAAACTAATGCTGAAGCGACTAAAATCGTTGAACGTAGAATAAATTATCGCGATGCCGTGCCTATCGTGAAACGTGATCGAACGGTACGAATCGAACGCTCGGTGTTAGAATGTGTTAGATTCCGATCGAAATTCAATGTACCTTCGTTCACTGTCGATCTCCATAGTTGGACGGTGTATCTGCGTTTATCCACGATGTCGAGACGCGATGAACGACAAACAGCTCGTTGCGATGATCGTGTAAATGGTGCACGTGTTTTCGATATATTATATATAAAAAGTACAAACAACTGATCTTACGGTTAAGTGCACGGTGTGTTGTGTGTAGGTGCGATTAGTGTTCCGTGCGTTTTACGAATTCAGTGAGAAATGTGACAAGAAGGACACTTAAGTATCAAGGCACATCGAAAACCAAATCGTCGTACGTCTATTACTTCAGAAATTAATTTTAATTGATCACCTTGTTGCTCTAACGAGTAACTAACTTTCTAACTAAACCTATACTGTGATACATTGACCGATCGTTAATTGTGCAGTACAGGATGGATTAAGTTCACGTCTTTTGTTTACGTTTTATTATTTAACTTAATATCGAGAATTAACCCATTTACTGCCTTCGACAAGATTACTTTCAGATACTTTTACTGAAGACTAACATAATTTTTGTTAAAACTTTGCCAATGTAAAATATCTTCCTTATCTTTACCATGTATATACATTGGTGCCGATCTTGAAGCATACATACTGATTACAGAAATTTAAATTATTCCACTAATTTCAATAATATATTGAAAATATTGTTTCTCAACAAATTTTTATCAACGTTCACCTCAAAACAAATAATTAATTTACATTGCTTTTACAATTACTGTGCTAGCATAGACAACTACTGTACAAGCACAGTGCAATGACAAACTTCAGATGTACTTGACAAATATATAGTATTACTTGACAACAGTTAATAACTAGAATCTATAGAATAAAACTTTAGTAAATATGAAAGATTGGCAGTTAATGAGTTAAATCGAACAGAAAACAAAAAGGCAATCCTATGTCCCGTATTTCCCTTTCGCAACCCTACGCGTGTCTTATCTTATCCCTGCAACTAACTAAACTAATTCAAACCAACTTCGCAATTTTTATCGGAATGAAATTATATCGAGATTCGAAAGTAACTAGGAACATAATGTTGGAAGGAATAACATTTGTATTTTCCTTTCAAAGCTGACACCACGAGGTTTGTCTTCGTCGTAATACGTTTATCAGCTCTTAAGCTAAGATAAATTGAGATCATTGGATAAAGTTCGTCTGTTTACTTCTTTTTCGTCGTTATCGACATTGCCGTAACTAGGATTTTCTATGCTGGATTCCTGTAAATTCACTAGTAGTCTTAGTGCATGATTATGCGAAGCATTACCTAGTCTTTTGGGGGATTTGGGGATTCTGAAGGATATTTGGGGTTTTGGGTTCAATGCTGGGAAGTTTGCAAATTTGGTGATTTGAGAATTTGGAAATTTGGACATTTGAGTATTGGGAAATTTGGGACTTTAGGGATTTAGGAATGTAGGAATTTGGAAATTTGAAAAGACGATGATTTGAGGAATTGGGATATACAGATTCAAAGGTTAAGAATTTGGGGATTTGAGGAGTTGGGATGAGTGCTTAGGGATTTAAAAATTTAGTGGTTAAGAAACTCAGAAATTAAGAACTTTGGGATTCGCAAGTCTAAGACTTGGAAATCGGGAATTTAGGAAATTGAAAATTCAGTAATTCAGAAATTTTAGAATCAGATATCGAGACTTGGTAATTTCCAAACTTCTGAATTTCAAAATTTCGAAATATCCTAGATCCTACTCTCGTAGGCCCACATTTTAGCCACCCTCCTACCTAGTTACGTCAATGATCATAGATCGATTTCCCTTCTATCCAGCCGGTACTGAGTCAAAGAAGCATCGAAAAATTAGGAAGCAAGCGAACGCGTTGATATTTGCAGATTACCAAATGTTATCTCGGTATATTTCTTTTGCTCGATCGCAAAATCGCAAGTTAAAGAATGCCCGTATTTTCTTCGCTCCCGCGACGCCTGGCGGTCGCTTTTTCTCTCACGCCGTTCCTAGTTCACGAACCCGTTTATAAACATTTTGATTTCATTCGGTATTGTTCTTAAACTCTACGGAGCAACGAACGTCTCCTTTTTCCCCCGAATTTTCTCGGATGAAAATGTCGAAAAAAAAGAAGCGATCCGTTATCGGAATGTAGGACAGTTTTCAACATCGAGCTGCTCTCTCTATCCAAAGCGACCAATTTTGACATTATCCAAATCGAAAGATCGTCGGTCGTAGGAATTCCCTTTCTTTTTCAATTAGCCGAAAATATGTAGTATTCATGAAACGCGAACCGACGATTTACAGAAGAATTTTGTCGCCGTAGCAGCCGTTTCGTCCAAACGTGTTTGCCTAGTTCGCACGCACGATGTCAACCTACTGTCCGTTTTCGAAATCTTAATGACTATTTGTGCGCTTACGATACAGACTCGTAGATCTTGTTCTTAGAAACTGGCCAAAGGTTTGTCGATCGGCCAGCAACCGATCTACGATGTCTTCTCTAGCCAAATGTTCAAGTATAATGCCCGAATCTCCTCTTTTTTGGTTTCCTCAATCATCGTTGAATGACGTCGGCTTATAAATACTTTTTAACAATTTTACAAATATTTCACTGTAAATCTTTCGTCATCCATTCAATTTATAATCCAACCTTTCTATCTTTCTTTCTTCTTTTTTTTTCTCTCGTTTCTTCGTTCCTTTCCTTCTGTCTATTTTATAATCGAAAGTTAAGCCTAAAAAGTAGACGCCTGAAGTAAAGTCGGATGAGGAGATGACAGGGGCCTCTATGGTACTGTTTCCTGTTGGAATCGAAAAACCCAAGTGGCAGCGGTTCCCGTAAAACGAGACAGACGAGTATGCAGAACGGATACGTCGATGGTAACCCAACATAACCGGACACGCATGGAAAACTATGATTTACCTCGTATTAACCTGAGAATACTTCTAGCCGCTATTTAAATGCTGAATACATCGAATACATAGAATCTACATTACTCTTTTCTTATTTTTCTCTCTTTAATATACATAAACGACCACGGCACTCTTTTTTAAATCCCCCCGAAATTTTTTCGTTCCCTTCCCTTATCGAAAATACATCTAGACCTATCGAACGCGCGATTTTAATGAGTGAAAAATTGAAAGCAATGTAGTCGCGAATAGCTGGTTAAAACCATTGTTGCTTAACCTCTTCAAGGACCTTCGAATCTAATTTTTTATGAACAATTATATTTTACTCAGTTTAAATAGAAATTATGTTAAAATAATTTCAAACCTAAGAACATACAAAAGAAATGACATTACTTAATTTAAAGAGAAATAAGTATGTATTATAAATATGTCCTTGAAGAGGTTAATATAAAAATTGCAAAAACGTCCGAATTGCAACTAAAATTATTGAATGAAAACAAAACGTTAACGAGTTTTTCACCGCCGTGGACCGTTGGCAAAATGTACATCTTTATATCGCGAGTGTCGTTTAATCACCTTCGATAATCTGCAAATATATCGGCGTCGCGCTTGCTTTTTCAATAAATCTTAAACATTTATGTGCCGAGTGTTCTCAATGAGCTCTTACACTTAAACGTAAAACTATCCGTAAACTTCTCAGAAGTTAATGGTAAATTACGTGTAAAAGGAATGATCTTGAATGGAAGAGTTTAAACCAACTCATTTTCGCCCTAAATACCTTCTCTTTTCGACTAACTTAATAGGTAATATGACTTGCTATGCTCCAGTACGTCCAGTGCATCCAGTTTACAGAACAGTCCGGACTGTTCTGTAAATTTACATGTCTCCGAAGATACCAGCAAATGTTTTCCGCAGATTCTTCATCGTGTCCTCGGTATCCTCGCTTTGAGATTGACTGCCTTGTCTGTGAAATGGTACTCTCGATGGTGGAGGTTCCTCTTGACGTCGGCCGACTGAAGGAGCGCTGCTCACTGTACTGGATTGCGATGCTGTATGCAACAAAATATGATATTTTGTAGTTTTGGTAATTATTGAATAATTGTTATTTGTGTTGATACACGAAACCTCTGAATCTTCTACAATAAGCAGACGTAAGTAGAATCATAACACGGTCAGACAGTTTAAGTAGATCGAGAAGTGCATAATCAGACATTCAATAATAAACTTGAGAACCGTTCGAGCTACTGCAGAACTGTGTATGTAAAGAAAACCGTAGAAGCGTTAAAAGTTAACAACTATTAATGGACCTTTAAAATGAAGTTTTCTTTACATCTTCATTCTCACATGAGATAGAGATATGAGATGTGCATTATGAGATGGGTCACACACACGAGATAAGTAGATACACTCGTATCTATACATTAAAATAATATCAGAAATAAATTCAAGTGCTGAAGAAATCAAAATAAACATAGAATTATTTATAGAAAAATGATGGAATATTTTTAACTCTTTTCATATGGCACTCGTTACTATGTAAAAAAATACCCGTTTGTAAAAAACTTTGTGCTTCTGTCGTAAAAATATGTTCCTTTCGATTTACGAACCTTGCGAATCACGACGCTGCAATTGATGATGACTATCGGAAGTGGTCGTGTCGCCAGCCAACGCAGTGGTGGACCCCACAGAGCCTAAGCTCCCTATGCTCGCCATGGAGCCCATACTTCCGTGAGATCCGAGTGGTGCAGTTGGTGGTGCAGTGCGATCTTCAACAGGGCTCGTTGCTTGACTGGATCCAGACATTGACCCTCTGGACGTTGTTTTCGTCAGCATGCTCGGTGGTCGGCAGCATGCCTGAGCACAAAAACGACTAGTGTGACAATCGAAGAAACCAGAAGCCTACAGCGTCCGACTTAATGGTAAAGTACGCACAAAGAAAAAACTGGAACTTCTGTTTGACCAATTAATTTTCACCTCGAGAGTTGCTGAAAATAACGTCCTTAAAAATAATGTTCTTTTTACCTGCATCTTCGCTGTAACAAGATCCGCGATGTGACGACGATCCTCTTCTTGCGAATCGCCCATTAACGACAACGCGCTGTCGTTCACCTCGATTATGTATTCTCGACCGTCTTTCCCGACCAGCAGCTCGATCGCGCATATATCCAATCCACCAAACAATTGGGCTACGTGATCGACCCAAGTTCGGTGTCTCTCGCTCACGGCTAATTGCTCCAACATCGCTGAACCGGTGTTCGATTTCCAGTTTCCACTTATGCTCTTCCGCCTGGGTGAAACGAGTACCGTGACAATGGGTTCGATCATTTGATCGCGATTGTTTGATTAATTAACCCTTGGGCGGTGAGGTGGGATTTAATTGAAGTCGAACTTTCGTCAGAGCATTGCAATTTGAACCGATTCGACCCACGTCTGACTTCTACACATTTCACGCAAATCCGTATGCTGCGTTTAGAATATGTCTTGACTGAATTCTAGCATATGTGTTTGATATATTTTGACTCGATTCGATGCAATTGAATGTACAAATTCAAAACAACGATGTGGAAATTCGACGATTTAATTAAATATGATCTACATTCTAAAGGATCCTTAGTACTTGGATAAATTAAATGCTATTAAAATAATCTATAATCGACAATATCTCTACAAGATCTGGATAATTTAACGAGTGTTACATCACGAAATGTATCAGATCGAAATATAAATTTGATTGAATTGCGAAAGGTTCATTCTTCCGCGGAACAGCTTTATTTCAGCGTAGGTCGTTTAAAAATACACGAAACTGGTATTGTTCTGAGACCAACGCAGACATAAGTATCGTTACATATTAGGTCAGACAGAATGCAAAATAGTGGCTGATTTAAAAGTGTCCCCACGATATCAATTACGTAAGGACTGTATCCACCTTGCCGTCCGGGGGTTGGGCGTTTTTCTCTGAAATTTCTGCCACCGCGGACAAGCTATACCGTGACACTCGTGACAGACGTTTCGTGACACTCACATGAACGCCTTGTAGTTATTGCCTATTTTCTGCACGTGCACGTCGTACTTGGTGTCGATGTACGGTTCCGACGTGCAGTAAACGTTCGCCAAAGCAGCCAACGAGGCGAGATCTAGAAACTCTTGATTCGTCTCGGCACGAGCTTTTCCCACTCCACCGTGGGCGTGTCCAAGTTTCACCACGACCGGATAACGAGATGCGCTTACCTGCAAATATCGGTTCGTTTAAAAAAATTAACAATCGTACGGTGAAATAAGTGAAAAATGTGTTTCGTAGATGAGAAAATTATTCTGCGACTTTCGAGGGAGCGACACAATGTACACCATTGTTCAAAAGTTTTTCACTCGATGAAAGAGTAAAGGGAGGCACATTTAATCGAATTTTCGTGACCTTTTTCGTATAATGTATGCAATTTGTGAGAATTGTAAATGAATTCTGCAGAATTTTGCATTATTGATTTTTCAGTAAATTACCATAGACATTCGTCGTGTGTGAATAATGTTTTGATTATTAATATTTATTTGATACTCCACATACGTAAATGTTCACCATATATTTGTGTTTGTGGATAACTCATACCTCTTGTGCTTCCCCTTTCGGTTGCAACCTTTTCTGCGTTTGTTTTTAAGAAAACATTTAAAAATAATAGTATGTAGATCTTAAATCTATAATTTCTATAAGTAGCAATGTGTCACTAAACGTCGAATGAAACACTTTTGAGCGGCGGTGTACATCCTTGTCGCCTAGCTATCAGAAGAAAACTTCGTTGTTGCATCAATAGACGGAGAAATCGAGTTGGCGTTTCCTTGAATTAATGAAATTCAAAAAAACAAGGAAGCTTGATCTGGGTGTTGCAAAATCAGTTTGTAAATATGCGATACAAATGGCTATAAATTATAGCACGCTGGCGAGTTAGAAATTGGAGCGCTGAGCAAGCTCGCTGTTTAACATATTGACTACCATAAGGGTCTTCTGTGACCAACACCGAACGGAAAGAATAATTTTCAACGACAGTAATGTTATGGTAATAATAGAGATTCAAATTGAAAATCAGAATAAGTCTGCTGAAGGGAGTGAGAATAACCAGTTGCCAAAATACAAGATGTACATAAAGACATACACATTAGTGAATCTAGCAATAAGTAGAATAAAATATTTATAATCAGACGATCTTTTCTATATCTTCAACCTGCTGCTTTAGTTATTAATTTCTATTTATTAAAAGACCGTTGTTGTAACTTCGAAATGTTATAAAAATTATCAAAATCATTTATGAATTTAACCGATTACACCAACGACAAAGTTTCACAAAGAATAATATCGCAAATCTCCATTAACATCATTCTGAAGTATTCCTAAGGAGACAAATGTAATCACTGTCAATTTGAATGACTCCTAATTTATTTTCAAACGTACTTCAGCCTCCCAATAGCTACTTAAATTTAGTAATGCTCTTGTTACACGTCGATAACGACAACTGCAGGCCGTTACATAACGAACGCGTGTCAGCTCGCAATGCGTTTGTCACGTTTCTGCATCGACCGATGGAGAATCGATTAACAATGCACGCGGTATTCAACATTCCTCTTTAAGCATCAGCGGAAAACCAGTCGGATGGGACGCCTACCGCAATCTCGGCCTCTTGTCTTCGATAATCGAATACATTAACCGACATCTATGGATGAAGATCAAAGTCAGCCGATACGCGGGCGGTTGATTAAACAGCACGTACGGTCGCGTGGGCAACAGAAGATTATTACGCGCGATGTTAATGCCGCAACTTGCGAAACGAGTTCACCAAACGAAAACAGATATCCCTCGGGATATCTATTTCTCTCCGCTCGAGAACACAGAAGTGTTTCGCTTCGTAATGGACACGCTTGGCCATTTTGATAGAATACGACGACGCCCGAGGCCACGCGTTCGAAAAGCGTACTCTGTATCCAATCGTACCGGTTCCCGTGGTTTTTAATCGTGAATCAGTCGCGGCACAGGATCCCTGGCAACCACGATTCTTTCTCGGTTGATTGCACGGTAATCGAGTTAGGAAAAAGAGGGTAAAGACGACGTAAAATGTGAACGCTCGCTAGTCTATCCCGTTAGCGCAGATAGCCGTGGAATTCCTCGTCGATACAACCCAACGAGCATTAAAGCTTGATGGATTTTCGATTTTAGCCCGGGGATTCTTCGATCTCTCTCGTTTTCCAATACGGTAGAACGCTTATCTTCACTCCATTTGTTCCAACTAGCTAATGCTAAGTACCCCTTGATTAGGTGTTACTATGGCCATGGGAACATTTAGACTACTCAAGTATGTGAAAATGCATAACAAATTTGTATACAGAATGTATACACAAATTTTATTGGGTTTAAAATCAATAAAAGAGATGTACATGTCTAATTTTGTTTTATCTGACCACCATTATATATGATTTTTGTAATTTCCTCTCAATGAATATACACAAGTGCTTTGTGGTCGAAGAAAATCACGTTGCATCAGTTTAAATCAACATCCATTAAACGTTCCTAGCCATACTCCAGATCGACGAAATGGTAGTTCAGGGCGCCAGCTTGCCCCTAGAGGCACGAATGGTAACATAAATAAGGGAAGAAGCTTAATCTATTCACTTCGTATTATCTTTCTCTTTTTTCCGACATTCTCGTGTTCAACATGACCACGAGCGATAAGATCAGTGCCACGAGGGCAAACTCTTGGACAGCGCTGACCGTAGAAGAGAGAGCTAGTGATCTTCTATTAGCGGAACCACCCGGTTAACGGAACTATCCTATTGTACCGTGCACAATTTTTCCGAACAATCCGTTTTCGTATCGTCTGATAGGCTCGTTGACGGTTGTTTACAAAAGCGTATTCACGCAGGAGGAGGAAGCGATTGATCAATGAATTGGTTTTGATAGGCTGGCGTCCGGTCACGATAGACCGTCGACGCTGACACACCGACAGAATAATGCTCGAAACGTATCGTACCCACGTGTTTGTGCCGACACGTGGGTGTCGCAAAAGTGCCTTCCTGAGCACCGCTGGACGCGTGTCCGTTCCCCCCGTGGCACGAACACCAACGACGGGATCAACGGCGAGGGACACGGAGATAAATCATTTATCGTGGACCCCTCGAGGACTTCGACGGCGAACCGAGGGGTGTCGCTTTCGATTTTGTTCGTCGTACTTGAACGCACTAAAAATAATGCTCGTTTCACCTCGTGCGAGCTAACGTTTAAATCCGTGGTGAAACGATGCTCGATGGTAAAAAAGAACGGACGGGTAATGGCTAATAGAGGAACACCCATCGTTAACTGTTTGTAGATACAAATTCCTCGCGTTCTTTCAGTTTCATGATCCGCTTAAGTTCTTCCGATGTAAGTTTAAATGTAAAACAGTCCACAACGCCAATGCGTAATTCAACGGATTTACACGAATCGGTAACGTGTATAGAATGTTAACACGATTGTTTATCGATTTTCGTTTATTGAAAGAGAGATTCATGAAATGCTAATTCACCCCGTTCCAAGTTGTTACCGATACCGATTACATTATCGACGGGTACTGATAATATCCAGATGATTCACTGTGTCGGTAATACTGAGATATCGTTAAGGCTAATGAGAATTGCGGAAATGGAATGTAATGCACACTTTTATCGTTTAAGGTAAAATAAATAGATTTGATAATAGTGCGTTTATGTATCGGATTAGACTCAGTGAGGTCAGAACTTTAAATTAAAATAAATGATCTCGTGTAGCTGAATCTAATCCGATACATAAATGTACCATTACAACTTAATTATCCTTGTCTGAAGTTAGATTTAGTGCAGAGATTAAATAAAAGTAAATTCAATGGATGTAGTTATGTTAAATGATTAGGTTAGATTAAAATTGAAGTACGAATTTATGGATCTGAATAATAAATTCATGCTTAAGAAGGGTTAAAAGTGAGATTCAAAGAAACACATTCGAATGATACAGTCAGGCATCGGATTAGATCAATTTTGGCTAGGTTAGAAGTTGAGTCAAAAATAAATCGACAGTAACAACAAAATTATATACATTTCAGATTAGGTTCAATTATCAGTTTGAAACGATTGCCTCGAAATTATTAACTATCAATAAAAAATCGATAACCTCTCGGTAATAATCGATAGCAGTACAATGCCAACTGTCCAAGAGACAAAGTACCCTATCGGCCTTCCCTACCACGGAGTTTGCCGAACGGAACGATAAAAAAGGTCCGGCGGACACGTTAAATGATAGTAATCGTGGATCAAACGGTGACGAGTGGAACCCCCGCGAGCATGGTTTCGGCGAACGAGAGGCCCCGGATCGCGAATAGGTAAAAGGAGGACAGACGACCGGAGAAAAATGTAGATCGACGAAGTTCAAAACGAAAGAGGAAGAAGAAGAAGCGGCGTGGCTGTGAAACGGAGCAGGGAGGCTCGATTCGAGAGAGAAGGAGGACTGTGGGTGGCCGGCGAGAGACGCAAAGCGAGCCAAGGTATACACCGTCAAAGTGGGGGATGAGAAGGTGAGTTTGAAGTGGAGGGAGGCGAAGTTTGATGGAGGGGATGCAGAAGATCACAGAGGTAGAGTAAGAGAGACGGCACTAACGATAATGAAAATGCGCGAAGGAGACGGGGCAAAGATTCACGAACGGTAGACGAAGAAAGCGGAGAGAGAGCGAGCAAGGCCGCGAGGAAAGTAGACGAGGAAGCGACGAGAAAATAGCGAAGCGCGAGGAAGAACGAAATATATTTAAACGATGGAAATAAGGACGGGTAGAGGGGCGAGTGGTAAAAGATCATCGAGTAGAAAAGAGAGAAAAACAGGGTAACGCGACAGACGGAGAGAGACGGAGAGGTGGGTAAAAGTCAGAAACGAGGACGAAGACGGAGGACAGGTATGATTGAGCGCGAACGAGCGAGACAGGGAATGCAGGAGGGAAAGAGGCGGAAAGAGAGAGAGAATTCAACGGCGAGATCGACGTAAGAACGTAGGAAGGAACGAGAGGCTCCCGTGTCGTTCGCGCTTGCATTGCTTTTCGAAGCTCGCGCGCGAACGGTCGACTTCTCTTTCTCGAGAGAGAGTGCGCGAGTGCGTGTGGGTCGATCGATAAACACACGTGAAAATCCAGTCGGTCCTCTTTCACGCCCGATGCTATATCGCGCGAGACTGTTCGCCAAGTCGAGATTGGTAC